TTTTTAGAAGTCAATTTGCCAGTTAAATAAACTCTGGTCGTTAACAATTTATTTTGAAAACACTCAAGCGATTGAAGTATTTTATCATGGTTAAAGTGTGTTTTGTTGTCCAGTCAGGTTCCATTTGTCTTACACGTGTGTTTTCAAATTTCTGTAGCAGATCTGCCACAAAAGTACTACGCTGTTTATTAAGTTCTGTTGGCAGATATTCCACACAGGTATTATCCATATCTTCAGTTCTGCTAGCAACTCATCCACAAAAGTATTATAATATATCTTAAGTTCTGTTTAGCAGCTTTTCCACACAGGTATTACGCTATTTACGCCGTATCTTCAGTTCTGTTTCGTATTTCTTTGCATGTCCAATACATAGCAGATAGTTTACTACAATAACAACTTTCTATGAATGACTAAAATGATCGTGTTTTTAATAATCTGCATAACTTTTCAAGACCGGGGGTTATAATGTGGGTAACTAAATTAAGACATATTGATGAATGACAGTGATGGTTTGTGGTGTAGGAAACTGAATTGAGACATTGATGAATGACAGTGATGGTTTGTGATGTATGGAACTGAATTATAACGTATTGATGAATGACACTGATTGTTTGTGATGTAGGGAACTGAATTAAGACATATTAATGAATGACAGTGATGGTTTGTGATGTAGGGAACTGAATTAAGATATATATTGATGAATGACACTGGTGGTTTGTGATGTAGGGAACTGAATTAAGACATATTAATGAATGACAGTGATAGTTTGTGGGCATTTTTCTGTAGTATATCTGAAAACCAGTTTTGAAACGTTCTCTGAATATAAAATTATTATATTAAACATGTAATTGACGTGCTTGTGTATAAAATAAAGTGTTACAGATGTAATTATAATTTTTTTATTTATTCCAATTTTGGAAATATTAAGTTAATATAAAAAAAAACATGAACTAACAATGTTGAGTTGGGTTATTTTTACCATCAGACCTCTATATCTAGCCATAAACATTACAAATCACACCCATTGGTTTTTAGTTAAACATAAAATAAAAGGATTTGGAACGTTTTATATGTAAAAATTATATGAATTATCTAGTATCATTGTTTTGTAACCATTGAAATATTTGATCATTTGGGCTGAAAGGTCGAGGAAGAGAAATCCGCTTAAACAAAAAAGCTAATTAGGTGTCATTCACAGAGGTTTGACAGATTTGTTTACAGTGTATTACACATTTACATCGCGTCTTCAACCTTATGTTAGTGAAGAGTTCAAAAAAGAATTGTAGATCTTTCGAACTTCTTAGGAGGATTCCACACTGCTTGTATTTGGCACTTCAGCACCCCATATTTTGGGAACGATGCCACAGTTTGACTAAAAGGAATCCGTGCACGTTTGCATGTACCTCAAATTATTAGAAAATCATATGTCTTCATAATTTCAATGCTACTGTTCATCTTGCACCATAATCTTTCCTGTATTTACCATGAGGTGGAGCAACGTGAGTTCGACCCACGTAGATGTCTACATCTTGATCCTTCCAATTGTCTGATTTTCCATTCCAGTCGCTTTCGTATTCAGTGAGTGAGTGGACGGAGCTGGCAGATGTTATCCGTTTGTTGTCTCTTCGAGTTTTTTTCTTCTTTGGTGGAGCCGAGATATGACTTCCAAGAAATGAGTGGTGACCAGATAATTGGGAAAGAGACTGTTGAGACTTGCGTATGTCTGGATTACCAAGACTTAAATGGTCACCAAATCGATGAGATAATTGTGTGTAAGAACGATGAGATTGACCATCAGCCGTTGGTCTGTTACTAACATGGCCATTGGGCACCTGAGAGTAATGGGATAAGTGGGAGCGATTGTCGTCCATGATGAAACTGTGATTGATTGAACCATTGGGATCAGACTGGTACATACGGGGTCGAGGAATGCTACGTCCACTGTACATGGATGCAGATTCCCACTCATGCTCAGACTTTACTGCTGGCGCCCCTGTAGTGGGTGGTGGAAGCGTCGGTTTCTCCTTTTTTTGTTTGCGACAATAGCAACAAACAAAAATGATGACTGCGATAATAATAACTCCACACACTGCAGCAGAACCTGCTATTACAATCTTATCCAAAGCATGTCTGCTCTCACTGTTTTTGATTTCCCTACACTGACTATATGGGATAGCATCTACAGAAAGGTTAGGGATGTCTTCCAGAGTGACTACACAGACAATAACACAATCGTCAGTAGGTACATTGGGGATGGCATACTGGCGTTGACTGGCAACGAGCGAAGGACCTCGTGTGAATTGCTCTTCCCCAAACACTCTGTATACTACTTGGAATCCCAGCAGGTTGGAAGAATTAGAATCCCATTCAACCATTATAGAATTGCCGGTCCTAAAGGCATCGCGAATCTTCACCTCCTCTATTACTGGGTAAGGTATTTTTGTCCCTGCAGATGAACTATCAACTGCTACAATACCCGAGCTCCTAGACGTTAGAGATGTTTGGGTTTCAGTTAATCTAGTGGTAGGTGACGGCGTCGTTTGGTAAGATGGAAAAGTGGCTGTGGTCTTTCGTTTTGGTTGGACTGGTTGGCCAAGGTCTATAGCAGGAGAGTATGTCTTGCTGGTGGAAGGAAAACTCTGAACGGGATAAGGAAGGAACTTTGGTTCTTTACTACGTGGAGGTTCAGTCACCACAGCATCACTTGGTGTATACGTTGTTGTTTTAAGTGTTGTTATTTGTGGTTCATTTTCACACTGGAGTTCAGTAGGGCTTAATTGGAAGAAGTTTCGACGTTGAAGGCTTTCTGGTTTTCCACAGAATTGAGGATTTTTCTCTCGACTAGTGACTTGAAGATCATTGTCTCGAACCCACTCTACTATCCATCTGATTCGACAGTCGCATTCCAGATAAGGCCCTGTGGTGTTAAATAATTGTTAATTAGTAACATATTAAATACAACACTTTTTACAACCTATGAAAATGGTATAGTGAAGATTAGGTAAAGTACTTGTACAACATTGCTTTAAGTCATCGTATGATGTACGTACCAGAAACATATAAATACTATAAATAGAATTCATTCGAAGATTGAGAATCATAAAGTAATGAGCTTAACTCAAGTATAGTTTGTTCTGCCAATTATTTTCGTTGTGAGAAGACTTAACCCAATATAACTTGAAATCTTTCAAACATGTTGCTTTTGAAAATAACTAAAAATGTTAAGGAATAAAACAAACCAACAGTAAACGGAAAAACTGTGAAAAGTCTTTTGGAGAAACTTTTGACAGTTTTGTTGTTGTTCTCTAACTGCTGCACATGAGTTTATGTTATTCTATGATAAAGATGCTAAAGTAATGTTTCATACAGTTCAGATAGCGTATTGGAAAAACAGGTGGAAATGAAAATGTTACTTTGATACCATTTGTATTTTGAATATCTCACAGAAGACAAAACATTGACAGTTCCTATTTTGGAGACAGATCTGTGCATATGCGTGCAATTTTGCCTTTTTAACAAAATGTTTTCTAGCGAGTACATAGTTTAGTGGTATTTGTGCCTCACGATGACTCAGTAGGAAGATTGAAGGCATGCCGCTAAAATTCGGGGTTTGTTCCGTGCGGTAGCCACAACACAGATAGCCCATGGTGTAGCTTCGTGTTCAACAATTAACAAACGGTAACAGTTATGTTCCACAGTGTTTGTTTGATATGAACAACTAAACCGGCTGAGCTGTTGGGTTTCATCAAATGTCAATACAGCACGTATGTTTGTATCTTTAGTGTATCACTTTGTTATGGTAATTCAAAGTTTATAAGTAACGAAAAGTATCATAATTATTAATTATGAAGAACGTTTTTATTCTGACTTAATCATGTCGATAGTTTGATTAGGAGTTAATAGTATAAATAAGCTACGTTATGTTTTGTATATGTGACTTCTACTAACAGGTGATTACAGGTAGCACTTTTTTCTGCAGTGTGAGTTTGTTTTCGGAATAATGGATTCCCGAACTAACCTGAAAGTTGATGGGTTTTACTAATTAGTTGCTGGCCTGTGTTAACGCAAAACTATTTTCTTTGGGTGATTAAGATAATTGGATAACTACAGTATATTATTATTGACAGAAATTTAAGGTACAACTATCTGAAACAACAGGCTTTATCTATATTGTAAGAAATATTTTTATATGTCGTTAAACTTAGCGTGACGTCAGCAGATTGGTCACTTACGAAGCTCAGAATAAGGTGGTTAAACTTTTTTATATACAAATATTTAAAGGATGGCATATATAGTTAAATGTATTTGGTACTATTTGAATACAATATTCGTAGTTATAAGTTACAGCTTTAAGCAAAATTATCATAATTACGTTCGAAAGTTGCTCACCCTGGCGACAATGACTTTTGATTTTCAGATTGACTATAACGATATATCCATATCTTATTCTGTTTTACAGGTTAGTATGCTATTTAAACCAATCAAAAAAGGTTTTATAATTACAGAAAAAAAATGTTAGTCTTTCATTGATATCACTAATGAAGAGTCATCAGTATTATACCATGTAGCAACATTCCGACATAAGAATGTACAATTGAAATCTTACCTCCGATACTAATTCCTCTGAGGGAAGATTTGAGATGTTGAAACGCCACCAGGGGAACTGTAGATATGGGATTCCCATCCAGAGCAAGAAGTGTCAAATGAAGATTGTTCTTAAAAGCATCTTCGGGCAAGATACGAATGCCGTTGAATCCGAGGTCCAAAACCTAAAATACATCCGGTAATTATTATTCAGAGTTTAACTTAACCACATCTAGAAAACAGGCGGTATTTTCTCCGTGGTAAACCCTAGGCCCAAATATTCAATTACATACTGTGGCTAGTTCTTACTATGTCTAGAACGTTAAATATAGACAGCAACTAATTGTTCAACATTAAACCTGGAATGTAGATATTATATACGTAGTAGTTCTTTTTATCAGAGTTTATTTCAAACAGATAGATAAACTTGTTTAGCATAAACTATAAAGTCCTGAAGTACAAATACAGATATTCTACATTAAACACCGATTCAGTTTGGAATATAGAAGTTTTGCAGTCTAAACTGGAATATAAGTAATGTGTTACTGTTGTTAATTATTTTAAGAATTATTAAATAACACAGCATTTAACAATTATTTACTTAGAATTTTGCATCTGTGCACGTATTTGTAACCTTAAATGTGAGTTTGGTTGTACCGATCAACGAAGGTCATCTACATAAGGTAGACGCGTAATGGTGAAGAATACTTATTCATGGTTTACATTTCTTGGAAACAATTAACGACCTTGTTTCTTAAAATTATAATATTTAGTCCTCACCCTGAGTTTTGTAAGAGACGAGACAGCATCTACTGGAAATTCCACTAGTAGGTTGTTGAGCAGTGACAAAGAACTCAGACTGTCATTAACTCCACGGAAAGCTTTGCTGTCCACCTTCAACAGGCGGTTCCTCTCCATATTGATTGCTGTCAGAGAATGCAAGTCTTGCAAAAATCCAGGTTCCAAGCTTGACAGCTGATTTTGGGCCACATCTAGGAAAGATAAAGCACTTAGTTTTTGGATTGCTTTGGGCATACTCTCTAGCCCAGAACTTTTTAGATTCAGAGTTTTCAGCGTTCCTTGCAGGCCTTTAAAGGCTCCGTCAGAAATCTTCAGCTTGTTGTCCGAAAGCTTCAGAGTAGCCAAAGGCAAGTTCTGGAAGGCGCCATCTGGGACATTGGTCAGCTTATTGTGGGACAAGTCAAGCTGTTTTAATGTGGTCAGCCTTCCAATTTGCTGGATAGGTATTTCTGTTAAGAGATTGTTGTGAAGGTTAAGACTGGTTAGGGTTGTTTCCAGTCCTTCGAAGGCTTTCAAGGACAAGTTGGAAATCTTACTGTTGGCAAGATGAAGACTTTGAATATCTAAACCATGAAATGTTCCATCCTCTATTGTCGCAATGGAACCATTGCTTACATACATTAAATCTATAGGAATGTTTTGAACCGAAGTATGAAGAGCAGACATAAGGCGTGGGAAGTTCACAGGACTACATTGAATGGACAGTCTTTGGACACTGTTGAAAGCACAAATACAATCAGAGTGAAGGTCCAATAACTCTCGAGACCAGGGACATTGACAATAACATATGGAAATCCATGACAGGAAAATCAAGCTGGTCTCAAAGAGCTTCATCTTGGGATCTAGAAGTAGAAACAAAAAGCATCGTTTTAAGATAGTGAGATGTATGCAGTTGTCGAAACAATGCTAATGTTCAGTATCTTTATTGAAATGTATTATCAGCACATCTTTTTAATCCAAGTCTTAAAGATAAGCCGTTTTTCCATTGAACGTAGCTTTATATATTATTGATCCTTTTAACAATGCTAAAGAAACATAAAAAAGGACTTCATCTAATTTGAACACAAAAATAAAGCGTTCAAGAAAGAGACAAGGACACATATAACCCATAAATTACTTAGACATCTGAACTCTCTACGGATTTTAGCGTTTTAAGTCCGTACACTTACCGTTACCCCATCCGAGGACTGAGACTTTATTGAAAAAAAAATTATATAATTCAATTGAACGAAATAAACCGTAGAAACGTCATACTAAAATAATATTTATTTATGGGATTAAAAGAAACATTTACATGGCATATGCGTTAAGCTAACAAAACGTGAACTATTTTTAGGGCAAGAATATCATTAACACCGTATTACAGATCGAAACCCGGTTTATGTGTGTAAAAGTAGAATTTCGTGTTTTTTTGCCTGTCGGTGGGCTAACTGTCCTGTTGTTGAAATCATCAGCAGCTTGTACTCGCGATACTCATTAGTGTATGTGAAGAGCTGTTTTATGCAGAACGAAAACCTGCAGTGTTACATACCTAAGCATGAAATCTTATTAGAAATGTAAAGTATGTAAAACTGTGGATTAAATTGAGAGTTTATCAAAACTTTTTCGTGGTACTTGATAGAAAAACTCGGGCGTTGTAGACAATTCTACCGCTGTTAATACACACCTCCCCGGCATGGCCAGGTGGTTAGGGCGCTCGACTCGCAATCTGAGAGTCGCAGGTTCGAATCCCCGTCACAAACATGCTCGCCCTTTCAGCCGTGGGGCGTTATAATGTGACGGTCAATCCCACTATTCGTTGGTAAAAGAGTAGCCCAAGAGTTGGCGGTGGGTGGTGATGACTAGCTGCCTTCTCTCTAGTCTTGCACTGCTAAATTAGGGACGGCTAGCGCAGATAGCCCTCGTGTAGCTTTGCGCGAACTTTAAAAAAATAAACAATACACACCTCGAGCTTGGTATTTGAGTTTATGACTGAAAATATCTAACAGCGAAGGGTATAAGTTTGATGATACGTTTATTGTTTATTGATTTGTGACAATATGTATTAGTCAGTCGTTTATATAAGAACTGCTTCATTAATTTTTAAGTTCATTTTTGTTCATATTTATACAGTTAGCTCATTAATAACTGACAGCAGTATCTTAAAAACCAGCATCGAAAAGGATAAGAATTAAAATTTCATGTATTTTTGTTTGTTTTTTAATAAAATAATGTGAGTTGCACGCTTGCTGTGACTACAGGTTTAAAAAGATGCGTCTAAGTATGAAGATGTAAAATTAACATGCCAATTCTGTGTCCTATTTCAGGTTAAGGTGACGATTGGTATAGGAGATTAGGTGCATGAATTTATTTACAAATATAAAATAGTAGACATTAGTTCAAAATAATCAACAGACAAATGTGTTGTCTGACATATTCGAAGGTCAATGGCTTTTAAACGGATTGTAAAACTGCCATTCGATAGTCATCCTATTCCAAAAGCGGTCATAAACCTACGTAACGTGGCTGGCCCAAGGACGTCAAGCTTGACATGCCTGTATGCTGCCGGGTTTACTTTGTATGGTTGTCACGTGCTAGCACACTTTCAGAAGCAGCGTCAACATCCATGTGAAAAGAAGCGACATCTAGCGTAATTTTTACAACTGCTCCAAACAGATAGGAAGAGCGTAGCGGTAGTGAACGATTTAATGTGTGTGTGTTTACCAAACATGGAATTTTCATCAAAAATAAATTTAAAGACGTCTATTACACACTGTTAAATGTTAACATTTTATTTTTCGCTTTCCAAAAGCTGGCTGTATAGCTAAACATAGATTATCCGTAATAGAGCTATTGAGAGCTCAGTAAAAGAAAATAAATTAGCTAGTGAAAAAAACACAGTAAACGGAACAAACTGTCAGAAGTCTGACATCGTGGTTCGCGGCCAGTTGCTAGAGAAACGTGCATCGTACTTTAGAGTCGTGAGTGCGTTATAAGAGTGAAGGCCAATCCCATTCATTATTCATTGAGACAAGAATAGCGCCCAATAGTTAATGATGGCTGCTGTTGACTAGCTGCCTACTCTCTAGGCTATTTGTTCAAAATTAGGGGTGGTTATGTGTAGATGATCCTTTGTCTAGCTTTGTGAGAAGCTCTGAAGCAAACGCCATTTTCTTACAAATCTGCTGTTTTAACAGGTCTTATATAGCAGTACCGTCACCTGTTGATTCGTTTTACAAGTACTGTTTAAAAATTAATACATAAACGTGTTGTAACCCTTTAAGTTTGTATACATATAGCGATTTAAAAGAAATCGCTTAATAACACTGTCAATTTTAGTACATGTAATGTAAAAAATATTTTACTTTAGTGTTAAAAGATGAGATAACAATATACTCGGGGACGGGTTGGCCCTATGGCGAGCCAGGTTCGAATCCGAGCTATACCACAAAATGTTTCCAGCACTTTAAGCTGAAGGTGCGTTCCAATAGTGTCTGTTAATCCCTTAGCGTGGATGGGTGCTGTTGACTGGCTGCCTTCCTTCTGATCAGTAACTCAAAGTTACGCCATCCACAGCATACCCCCCCCCCCCCCCAGTGGCACACCGGTATGTCTGCGGACTTACAACGCTAGAATCCGAGTTTCGATACCCGTGGTGGGCAGAGTACATATACCCCATTGTGTAGCTTTGTGCTTAATTATAAATAAATAAATCCACAGCATAAACTTTGAACCCTTAAACCTATAACTTAAATCGCACTTAACATACATACACCAGCAATTTAGACATTGAATTAAGGAGAATATCCGAGTTATTCAGTCATAAGAATGGTCAACGTAGAAGAAGAGTTAAAAAACAATCGGTAAAACGAAAACGAAGAAATCCCAAGAAAAATTTTAGAAATTTCATTGGAAGAAATTATACCAAATAAAAGGAATAATAATGTATGAGTTTAAATGTGATATGTGCGAATAATTTTGTAATTGTGTGGAACTGGGATAGAAATAAACAAAAGGATCAAAGAACACGTTAAAGGGCAGTCCAATTGCTTTGAAACTCTTAAAAACAAATATATCCGCAAAGAACATATCTTAATATCAGTGCACGTCAGGCCGGTTGAAATACAACTTAGTAATATTTCAGAATCTGTTGTTGGAGGAATTTAGACATATTAGACAATAAAGTTAGAAAAACAAACAAACTACTTTTACTCAAGATGATTTATAAAACTTATTTAAACGCACTAACCTTCGTTTCGCCATTGCGACTTCATTAGGGTTTGTACAAAAACCTGTAAAGTTTTTTGATAAATCCCTGATGAAGTCGCAATGGTGAAATGCAAGTTGAAATAAAAACATATTTTTAAAGTTATCTGGAGAGAAAATGTAATTTTTTCCTAACTGTATTGTCCAAAACATAATAGTAGTGAAAATGCTATTTACACACGACAGTTGTTATGGTGTGAACATATTTTGATGACGAAGCGTGATTATATTCAATTATATTTCTCATAAAACAATTATGTTATGCTTATTGGATATGGCGGACACAGTGTAATTGAAAGATTATTACACATACTTCTCGGAAAAGACCTAAGGTGCCAAATTAAAAACTTAATGTTTAAAAATATAACTCAATAACCTTTGTCTTATGATATATATAATTGCTATATATATGTAATAGTGTCTAGCAGCTGCTTGGTTAATGAACATATATTTTTTGTAGAATTTGACTGTCTAACAATGCTATTAGCTGATAAAATTAATTTATGTATAATAATAAAAGGGCGTGTCTGTGGGTTTTTGTGTGTATGACCACCATAACTCCAAAATGAAAGAACCTAGAAACCTGTAATATTATGCACACATTTCTAAATGAACCCTGAGGGTGTGCACCTGGGTATTATTACTTATCCACGTGTGCGCGCGCATGTGCATCTTTTTAACGAAGCAAATTAGCGAAAAACCACACACAAAAGAAATGGTTCTTTATATAACAACTTCTAATATATAAAAAAGCCAGTGCGTTTGGGTAACAATGCATTTCAATAATGGCTTTGATGTCATGTTGTTTATACAAGTATAGTATGTAGGTTATACTTTTGTGCTAAAATGGGTTTATAATACAAACACTGACATTATCATCTAGAATATATCAACCTAATGACCCTAGCGAAGCCGGGTACTTACGTTATTATTTAATATTTGTTTGGTCTTGATATGTAGGCCCTTACTTACTAGTGATGAGTAAAGGACTATGCATTAAACCAAACAAATTGTTTACATTTCACCACTATATGCGGTCTTTATTCATTTGCTTCCTTCTTCCAAGCAGCACTGATGAGCCGTGAATTCGGCGAAATTAGTCTACTGCAGTGGGAGCAGCGAATCAAAGAATAGATTAGACCTCTATATCATCTTTTCTTCACTGAAATTTACGTTATGATGAGGAAAATAATTTCATATATAAATATATTTATTATTGTTAAAATCTCTCAATATTCAAAGCAGAACTCACTAATTTTTAAAAATTAACTTATAGCAATCCTGATAATCCATCAGCATTGTAATATCTAATTGTGTTAAGAGTTCAAGGACCGTTCAAGAGTGAGCCGTTACTCTATAACTGAATGTAAACGTTAATGAGTAGAAGATTGTTAATCATGTAACTAATAAGAGAACGACTAAGAGTTTAAGTGAAATGGATTTTATAAGTGTGAATAACCAGTGCTTTTTAATAATAATATGGATTTTCTTTAGCCGTAAAATCGTGCTGGTTGACAATATCGTCATTTAAAGTATACTTTATTGTGAAACATATCTTTGTTTTTCAGTTGATAATTTGGTAGGGATTGCAGTAAGG